GCTGGATTTGATGGCCTGCATGTCCTTATACTTCTGTGATTCTGTGTGAATGGTAGATAGCAAGTTCTTGCTAAGCAACACTATTTTAGACAGTAACTAGTCATAATCTCTTGTTTTACTGGTTTATATTATTATTTTATTTTTCATCTTTGACCATAAATCACATTTTTAAAAACTGTATTTGTTTGATAATATTCTCTCCTTTTTCTTGCCTTTGTATTAACTATCTTGTCCTCTCTATATGTGCATGTGCTGACACAAAATGTCCAGGCCTAGTATAGTAAAACTGTTCTAGTATGCAAAATAGAAATATCTCTTAGTTTATTACCAATTATTTTAACCAAAACATGAAATGTTTATACTGTCTGTTATCATAACGGAATAATGGCTGCTTTTTTAAAAATTAGAGTGAGACAATTTCCATGCTCTTAAAGAAATAAGTATTATCTCTGGAATTTTCAGTGATAGCTTTTTTGTAAAAGCAGAACATGTGGTAGAGTGCAGTCTTATTATGTACCTTGTCATGCTGTGCTCTTTGCTCTAGGGAGTGGAAAAAGAGTATTTCCCAATGCGCAGAGTTAAAAAACTTCATCTTGTGAAACAGTCAAAGCAATCAGCAAGTGATGGAGTATCTGTTAAAAAGAAACCTGACATTTAATTAACTTTTCAAAGTGCTGGTTCAGCAACCTCTATGTTCTACATTTTGAATATTGAACAAGCACTCCTAATCGGATCTGAATTAGTTCTGGGCTTGCTGGGGTGAAGAACAAGCAAGTGACTTGCCTGCTGTCTTCCTCTGCTCCATCTTTTTCCTCTAACATCAAAATATTATTATGAACTGATAGTAATTCAACCAGATTTTGCCTGATCTGCAGGGCATTTGAAATCAGCTCTTCCAGTATCATATGAAATAGCTGGGTTTAATAATAATGGTTTATAGCTAAAAATAGTGGGGAGAAGCTGTTATGCAGAAGGAGGGGTTGTACCTATAAATAGGTTATCATAATCTTCTCTCAGGGTTAGAGAATCTATATTCTTATATTGCTCTAATTTTGTACAAATATTCAGAGGCAGCTTTTCTGGTAATGGTGTTAAAAAATATCTCCCCAGGAACTAATTTTGTCTCACGATTCAATGTAGCATTCCCTGAGAGCAATTTCAGATGTTACAAGAGAGTAGTAATAGTGATACTGTGAATAATGTGTGTGCATCTTCACTTGGTTCACATATAAAATGAACTATGAGAATTTTTGCATCTCTTCCATAAAGCTATGTATGAATGCAGTAGAGGCAGACTCTTGTAGTGAATGTGGGGAAATTGCATTTCAAGAGGTTCAACACTAAAAGAGTTAAAGAAAAGTTGCTGACGTATCAATGCGGGTAATGAGTTGAGAAGACAGGAAAAACAAACACTGAGGACAGTGAGTTTCTGCTCTCAGGTGGGTTTTCACAAGGGAAGAATGATCTCCATTTTGTGTTTGACATTTGTTCAACTTATTTATATTTAATTATTTGCCAAAATGTTTATGCTGCTAATCTTTTGATTATGGATAACTTACAATTTATGAGACAAAACATCAATAAAATAATAAAAATCATTCATAGAATCAGTAGGCAATAAAACTATTAAAATTATAAATAAAACTATAGCTGCTGTCAAATAAGTACAACTGTTCTCTTAAAGACTGGGTTCTGTTTGCTTTTTAATGTTTAGTGACATAGAATAAAATAGACAGTGATGATACAATAAAAGAATATGCATAATACTGAATAAAATGAACTAGCTGCCCGGAGTCACTATGAGTGAGTTGGGTAGCCATATAAGCTGCATGCATGTGTGCATAAATAAATAAATAAACTACAGTTTAAAAAAAGATAAAAGAGCCACATAATATTAATATTGAACAGCTCAATCCTTTAAAATATTATTAAATCTAGACCACATAGAGGTATGTGGCTGTGATGGTATGGAATTATGAAGGCCAAACTCAGGGAGGGAAACATGCTCTTTCGTCTCCTGAGGGGAGAGGAAGAGATAAGCGGATGAGGCTGGCACCTCCCTGAGGAATTCACTCTGTTTTGACTGGCTGACTT